AAGTGTAAATTAATATCAAGCACCTATATATTATGTGACAAATTTAGACTTATTTATGACATATATCATAATTATTAGGTACCTAATAGCTGCAATGATGGCATGAGAATAGATTATTTAGTCGGTTATATAAAAAAAGACCCCTCTATTTAGGTACAATTAGGAAAACGTGGGGCTGGGGCTTTGAATATATTTTGACTATCGTCGTCTCACCGCCACTAATTGGTAAGAAAGTGTATGAATCTCTACGATCTACCTCTCCCCACCAAACAATTATTCGTTTTTCATTTTGACTAATGTTAATTTCTTTTACGTATATATAATGTTATATAGCCCAAATATAGCATATAKATGTCTTTTATTATTATGTGTGAACCATTTAGGAGCCGAAGATCTCTTGGGATATTTCTGGCAGCATAAGATACCGATGGCGATAGCAACAAGTAGTTCAAATGAGGGTTTCCACATGAAGACGAATCATTTGAAAAATATATTCTCTGTGTTTCACCATGTGGTCACTGGTTCTTCCGATCCGGAAGTAAAGAACGGCAAACCAGCWCCGGATATCTTCAATATATGCGCTTCCAGGTTTCCGGGAAGCCCRGTGAACAGCAATGTAATTTATTTAAATATTTATAAACGAGTTAAACCCAGTCTAAGATAATATTTTTAAGCTTAATAAACCAACTAAGATTTAGAAGTTGAAATCACATACAATMATTTTGTACAGAGCATAATATCATAAATCGAAAATAACATTTTAATTCTTTTACATCTCCAAGCAACACCTTATTTTTACACATATTGGAATTGATTATCGTTTGATAATATTAATAACCCAACATTAAAAAATGATTAACACTTATCATACGCTGCATGTATAATATAGATACTGGTGTTCGAAGACTCGCCGAACGGAGTGGCTTCAGCGTTAGCGGCCGGAATGCAAGTGATTATGGTACCCGATCTCATGYTGCCAAGAGAACTGACTGCTAACGCTACATGCGTTTTGGACTCCTTGGAAGATTTCTGTCCGGAAATATTTTCTTTGCCACCACGCGATTCCTTGAGTTCACGCTCTTCATAAGTATGAGATTCGTCTTCTAAATTGATATCTGCATGATCATATTCACGCAGTCCACGCAGTTACATAAAATTAAAAATTAAAATATATAATTTATTTGTCTGGCATTTATTTATTTGGCTGGTGTATACTGTATGTGRTACACGATAAGGTTTACTGAAAAGTAAAAGTTTTTACTAATGAGAGGACTCCACACCGCGTGTGTTGATGACATCTTACTATCTTAGAAACATGTAGAGGTATTTAAGCAAACTTTAAATATGTAAAATATTACAATTTAAAAACCAATATCTTATTTAAAAATTAAAATACTGTAAAAAAAATATATATGAATACAAAGAAAATATTCTTAGTATATTATAATAGGTAGGTGAATTCACTATATTATTAAATATTACAAAACTAAATTAGAAGTAACACAAATTTTCGGCTGCAAAGCAGAGACAATATATTATGCATGGCGACCTCTTATAAACAGCAAATATATGCAAGACGTTTATGTCATACGCAGTTATGGGCATCCAGGAATTGGGCCACAATTAACCTTTTTTCAAAAAGGTATACGGTAGTTGGGGGATTTATTGATTCCGCCGAAATTACCTGCTTAGGAAAAAGGTTTATATTGATTCCGGCGGCTACTGTTTATAAAATCTACATATTGATTCCGCCGTCTACTGTTTATAATATCTACACATTGATTCCACCG